CTATGACAAGTACATGTGACTAGTAAATGTACTTAACCCATATCTGATTTTAAGGTGATATTGTATAAGTAGGTTACCACTATTCAAACTGTGACACTTTTGAGATGAGAAGGTATACTATTAATAATTATGCTGGAACAGAAGGCATAAACCAAAACTATCTTGGTCTAGCCAGGTTATATGCTCATCTTCTCTGTAACTCTGTGCTGTATAGCACCTCTGTGTTCTGTGTAGCTATTTTAGCTGAAGGAGCATTTGTAACCAATCCTCCATGCCCATCCACATTTTATGTACACTGCCTACAATTACTTAGGACAGCTAAATCCTCACATGCTTTCAGCTTATGCATTACTTCTTCAGGAGCCTTCGTTGAAGTCTTTACTCCACTTGACCCTCTTGATAAATTTTTTAACCTCAAAGCAAAATAGAGCCAGACAGAAGTTAAAGTGGTGATGATGGATTAACAAAACTATTAGGGGAATAGACTTCAATATAGAAGTGTGCTTAACTCTGAATTCAACTTGGTAAGTGGGGATGTACATCCAAGGAGCAACTTGGCTGGGGGCATTGGTGATTGGGAACTTACTAAGAGGATACATCAAGTTTGGGGGCATTGGAGCTTAAGGCAGGCCAGGGTGATTAAATATCATTTGGGGGATAGTAGTGATGAGGAGTTTGATCAGATATCAAAGATAAGGAACTCTTGCTCAGTGCATTTAACAGGATTCTTGATAAAACTGCATTCTACAAGGAAGTACATGGATGGGCTTTGTGGGGGAGAAGGTTCAGAGTCATGCAAAGAATCTTTGTTACCTGTCCTTTGTACTTGTGTGCTTTCTGTGGTCTTTACTATCATTGCACTTAACCTTCTTGAATTATAATTCTCCAGTGGCTTGTCTGTATCATCTACACTGAGATCCTTAAAGTTGGGCACTATTTTTATTATCTGTAGTTCATTTGCCCATCTTGAACTTGTGATAGAATAGGGAGTCTAATACTAGTGGAAGGATGACTATTTTTGCTCTAGAATGATATGAAACTGAATCATAATTCTGGTGATGACTTGGAAAATAAGAAACACAAAGAAGTGATTTTAGTAAATAAAAATAATTTGGACTTGTGTAGGGAAAGAAAAGGAGTTAAAAATGACTTTGTGGTTTCTTTGAAGTCCTCTCTTTCCAATATAATGTATATCTCAAATATGGTTACTACCTTTCTTTCCTTTCTAGGACAATCCAAATTAACATGAACTAAAAAAACTTGAAATATGTACTAATATATAATTGCCATTTTGGAATAACATATTGGTATGACTAAACATGACTATAACCACTGTCTTTTGTTATTTGTTTGCAGGACTGACCTAACCATTTTTCTTTTACATATATTCCCCCTTTCTGACTCCTTTGTGCCATTTTATTTAGATACATTCACTTTCCTGTTTTGATAATTATAAATTAAAGTATGCATTCTTATTTTAAGAAGTCATTAGTCATCATTTTTAAAAATCCTGATGATTCTTCAATATGAATTCACTTTTCCTGCTTTGTGTAATTAGGCTACTGTTTGAAAATCATGACACTGTCCGTTCTAAAAAAAAATCCCTATTCTCATATGCTAAGAATAATGGTTCTATTCACAATTTTATTTGCATGATTGCATATGAACTAAATGTTAGTTTTTTTTGTAAGGTTTTCTTCCTAGTATTTTCTTTTTTCAAGGAAATCTCATATTGGGTCTTCTAATGCCCTCTTCCTGGGCAGTTTCATCTCTCACTCTCTTATGTACCTAGAACACTGGCTTTATAAAATATTTTGTGGCTAGAGGAGCAAAGTTATATTCTAGATAAAAGAAGTAGTATGTGCAAGGCACAGCGACATGAGATTATGATGTCAGCTACTTACATTGAGTAGATGGTGTTACTTAAATTTTCAAGTTTAAAATATTTTTTCAATGCAGAATTAGCCTGATCAAAAGAGTATTTTTGAAATAAGATATCTATTTCTCATATTATTTAAATGGCATTATTTCCTGTCACCTTATGGTTATTTCAAAGTTTGGAGAATAACAAGCCATCATTCTCTATAATTTCAAGATAATTTACAAGGTGAAGCCTTATCTTGGTATTGAATAGTATCTTTTTTTTTCTTTCACTTTTCTTTCTTTTTGACACGAGGGCTCACTCTTTTTATTTAGTGAATTCTTTTTTAAAAAGAAGTTTCTTTTCCACTGTACTCTTGTCTTCCTTTTCTCTTAGTCCCATCCTGGTAACTCAAGCAATAATTTGTTGTGAATCCTTCCGTAGTTTTCTCCATGATCGTATAAACATGTATGGACACATAATCTCCCTCCCTCCTGTACATACAGTCATTGGGATTTTAGGTCACTCTTTTATAAAATGAAATCATATAATATAACCCTGTGTGCTCTTTTCTTTTTTCATGAAAAACATTATGAAAAATCTATTCAAGCCAATTACTTTTTCACTAACTCATTCTTTTTATTGAGTTATAGTCCACAGCATGGATTGTACTATCACAATTTTTTAATATCTTCTGCTCCTGACTTTACATTTTCTTTCTATTTATACAGGACTACTGTACTGCACTTTCAGGAGTATATAGGAGAGATTCCTTTACTGGGTTGAAAGGTTATTTTACATTTTCATTGACATTGATTTTTCAAAAATATAAAGGTATTGCTTTCTTAGAAGCTATACCAATTCATATTTGTAGCAATTATGTAACATGATACCTTTTTCACTACAATTCAATCTACACTAGATGTTATTATCCTTATTTTTGTTAGTTGAATGGGTATAAGGTGATATCACATAAATTTTATTTATATTTCCTTCAATACTAGTTTTATTCCATCCTTTCACATGTTTATTTGTCATGTGGATTTCTGTACTGTGAATAACTTAGTTCTATTTTTTGCCATGTTCACTTTTTAAAAATTTTGTCTTTTTATTCCTGATTTTTTAATTATAAAATATTCAAGTAATACTTTGCATAGAAAATCTATCAGTATATATTATATTTTATATTAAATTATATAGCTTTTCAAATTTATCATTTCCCATTTTACTTCAGATTTTTCTCTAGTATGTTGATGTGATGATTTACATTAATAGATTTTTCTAATTTATCTATCTACGCAATCTTAGGATAAATGAACTTTACCTTAATTTGTTAAAAAAATTGTTGGATTTGGTTTGCTAATATTTAGGATTTTCTTATCTTTTAATAAGGGAGTTGATCTTTTTATGATATCTTGTCTCTCATTTTGGTGTCATGGTCAGACTAAATCTACAAAATATGTGAATTTCTCTGTTCTCGTTTTTCTATTTCAAAAAAGTGTACTTGAGATCAGAATTTGTCTTTCATGTTTAGTTGAACTCAAGCATAATTTTTATCCACCTGAGAGTGTGGTTTTTCATCTCTTTTTTCTCATTCTGCCTTTTTCCTCCTTCTTTAGACTCCATTTTTTAAAAAGTAGGTAGATTCTTTAATGGTTCTTTTGAAGTTTCTTATTTTTGAATCCATTTTTTAAAGTTATGTGTTTAAAAATATTGTCTGTTTTCAAATTTGTTGGCATAATTCTATCATTTTTTGTCTTTATAACCTATAAGTTTACTTAAATTCTTAGTGTTTATCTGTTCCTTTTTTTCTCCCTTGATCAGACTTGATTAAGACTTGTTTATTTTGTTAGTTATTGCAGATAATCAGCTTTAATATTATTGGTTCTCTTCAGTGACTATTTATTGCCTAATAACTTCTACTCTATCATGTCCTTTCAACTGTCTTTGGGAATATTGTGTTGAGATTTTCTAAGGTATGGAATTAGATTACTTAGATCATTCTCTGTTATTTTCTAATATAAACAGATTAAAGCACAGTTTTCTTTCTTGAAGATCATGTTATATTCCATAATTTTTAATATGTAGTATTGATCATCATTCAGTATGAATGCTTTCTAATTTCTGCTTTAATTTCTTCTATGACTTGTGAAATATTTAGAAGTACAAATACATGAATGGAAGGATACAGTTTAAAAATTGTTACTGAATAATGTTTCTATATACAACTTACTGAAATTATTACATATCTGTGAGTTAACAGTTATGTTAATAATTTAAATAAAAATGTTAAGTCTTTGTTGTCAAGTTAGTGTCATTTTGCCTACGGTGGAAAATAATGAAAACATCACTAGAATTAAAATACTTTTCTTTTCTGTGAAGCTTATGTTTTCAAATATATGGGATTAAAAGATTTAAAAAAATATTTTTGATTTAACTGAAGTGTGGTTGGAGAAAATGGTATGTGTGATTATTCTCTGGTATTTTTGTTTACAGCCTCCACATGATTGGTCTGTGTTTGTGTGTTTATGTGTGAATGTTCTGTATGTGTTTGGAAATAATATGCATTGTCTGGCTTAGTTCTATTTGCATTTTAAAAGCTCAGTGGCCATCAACTTTTTGTTAATGTGACTTCTAAAATATCTTCAAAAAAAAAATTCACACAGCCTTGCATTTTAAGTCGACATTAAAAATTTTTCACTATAAGTTTAAACAGTCCAGAGGATATAATTACTAGTGTATTGTGTAAAACTTGACATTTTAAAATAAAACTCTTTCACTGTTCTTTTAAAAGTATCCAATGACTTCTAAATATTTTAGTTACTTGATACCCTCACTATCAGTTAAAACACACAAATTTGGATCAACCTTTCTGTAGAACACATCTAAAAAAATCGAATAAAATGTTTTTCAAAGTCTGCTTAAAGAATCTCATCAATCACATTTTAAAATATGGGGGTAAAAAGATAGTAAATTAAAAATTCAATTGTAAGTCATGTTGAACTGAAAGATTTCAACTGCTACTGCATTTTGTGCTGTTTTTAAGAGATGTTTAGAGATGTTACAAATTATAGGTGTTATTTATGTAAATATTCTTTTAACTATCAGTTATCATTTCTTCTTCTGCTTCTTTTTCTAGGAATCACACCTGTATATCATAGTATGTTTGCTTTAATGAGTGAAACAGAGAGGATCTGGTATCCACCTAATCATGTCTTCCATATAGATGAATCAACCAGGCACAATGTACTCTACAGATTAAGGTACTTTCTCCAATAAAGTGACTCACTTAATGGTTCATGAAAGGGAAATGTGGGAAAAATTATAAAACCTATTTTTTAAGTGCAAGGTACTTAATAACAGAGAACAAACTAATTTGCATTTAATCTTCTTCATTTAAGACTATTTCTCCAGTAGAGGAAGTGTTCATACATGTTTTTTAACAACAGTGATCTGAGAATAAAGCTGCTCTGTTGTGATGCTGTTTTATTGATTACTATTATTAATTTTAGAAAGGATGAGATTGACTTTTACTAGCAAAATACTGAATGATTGGAATATTGCTCATTTCCTAGGAAACCGATACTATCTGCAATAAAATGTAATCTCACATCTCTTCTTTTTAAATAACCTTTTTGTTTTAAAAGTCAAAGTGAAGGAAAAATAAGATTTTTGCCAGTGTTTGTTTACATCCTCAAATTATGTTAGTTTATTAAATAATTTGTGATAATATGAAATACCAATTTAGAGAAACCCAGAGGAAATTATCTACTCAAAAGGATGAAATAAATATATCTGTAGCTTTTACTTATGAAATAGATCATTCCATGTAAACAGTCTTTGCTACATAGTAAGAAAATATGGACTCATTTATAATTTTAAAAAGAAAAGAAAAGGAAACCTTAAAAAACTAAAACTCAAGAGCAATGTCCTTACCATGATAAGGGGTATCTACAGAAAACATGTAGCCAATAATATTCTTAAATGGTAAAATGTTAGAAGCAGTCTCTTTAAAATCTGGAACAATAGAGAAAACAAAGATAGCCATAATCAGTGCTTAGGATTTTAGTGGAGTTCCTAGCCAGTATAATAAGACAAGATAAACAAAATGTTTAATGTTGAGAACAAGGAAGCAAAAAGTCATTATTTGGAGATGATATGATTGTCAACATAGGAAATATGAACAAACCTACTGGCATCAATAATAAGCATTCAGTGGACTGCTAGATCTATATGGTCAATGTCTTAAGAAATGAACTACTTCTAAAAACCACAAACAAATAGAAGAGAAGTAATTAAAAACAGCAACAAAAAATATAAGGTACCTAGGATTAAAACTATACAAAGTAATATAAGACTTTAATGCAATTCTTAAGATTTTACAAAGTTGTGTTATTTAAAGAAGCATTTTACGTTCTGCATATGATTGATACAGTATCAGTATCAAGAATATTTTCTTTATCACTTTCTGTAATTAGTATACTTTCTGAAATTAGCAAGTATATCTTTTTATTTTAAAATGTCTGTAGAACAGAGTTCTGCATTCTTTTTCTATGAAGGTCCAGATAGTAAATATTTTAGGCTTTGCAGGCCTTACTGTTCCTGTTGTAACTATTCAACTCTGTTATTACATCATGAAAGCAACAGTAGACAGTAAGTATCTGAATGGGAATGATTATATTCCAGTAAAACTTCATTTATAAAACCTGACAGTGGACCTAATTGACCTCTGAGCCATAGTTTGCTGAGCTTTTCTCAAGAATTAAAAAATGTTTCCCCTACCAAATTCCTGAATTCCTCTTATTATTAAACTAAGGGGGCATTTATCCAACTGTCTGTAATCAAAAATTCCCAGGAAAGTCTAACCAGAAACTGCCTAAAAGAGACTTTATATAACTTTTAAAAATTCCACCTGCCAATTGTTTAGAGCCTATTCTTTATTTCCTTTATTACATAACTAGGGGTTATATCAAAAACAAGAGAAAAGAACAATAATTATGAAACTGTGTTGAAGGGCTTATGATGTATAAAGATGTAATTTGTATGACAACAATAGAACAAAGTAAATGGGACAAAGTTTTATATACTATTAAAATCAACTTGATATTAATAAGAATGAGATTGCTTAAGTTAAAATCTTAATTTTAATTTCTTGGGAAACTCCTAAGAAAATAACTCAGAAATATGTAGTGTAAGAAACAGCAAGAGACTTTAAACAATTCACTAGAAATTACCTACGTTAACACCAAAGAAAGTGGTAAGGGAGGAATAGATGAACAAAAAAGACATAAGATATATAGAAAATAAACAATGAAAAGATGTACATAAATCTACCTTGATAGTAATAGCCTTAAATGTAAATGGACTAAACACTCAAGTGACAGAGATTGGAGGAATAGATTTAAAAAACATAAACTACATGCTATCTATAAGAGGCACACTTACAGTCAAAGACGCAAATAAATTGGAAGTAAAGGATTGAAAAATATAGGCAGTCAGTAACCAAAGAGAACTGGAACAGCTATATTAATTTTATACATATATAATTTAAGACAAAATGGACAAATGGACATTTTATAATGATATGAGTCAATCCATTACAAAACATAATAACTTTTTTTTATAATTATTATAAATAGGATCTAACCGCAGAGCTCCAAAATATATCAAGCAACAACTGACAGAATTGAAGAGGAAAACAGACAATTCAACAATAACAATTAGAAACTTCAATATCTCACTTTCGGTAATAGCTAGGACAACTAGACAGGAGATCAGCGTGGAAACAGAAGACTTGAACACCATATAAACCAACTAGACAAACATAGTACATTCCATCCAACAACAGCACAATAAACATTCTTCTCAAGTGCACATGGAGCATTCTCCAGGATAGATCATATGTTGGTCCACAAAAATGAGTCTCAGCAAATTTAAAAAGACTGAAATCATACAAAGCATATTCTCAGACAAGAATAGAATTAAATTAGAAATTACTAACAGAAGGAAAACTGGAAAATTCACAAATAAATTGTAATTAGTAACATGCCTCTAAGTAACTAATCTGTCAAAGAAGAAATCATAAGGGAAAATAGAAAAAACTTTGATATGACTGAAATGAAAACAAAACATATCATAATGTAGGGTATGCAGCTAAAACAATGTTTAGAGAATTCATAGTTGTAAACACCTATATTAAAAAAGAAAAAAGTTCTCAAATCAGTAACATTCCTCCATAAGGAAGTAGGAAAAAAAATTAAATAAAACTCAAAGCAAGTTAAAGGAAGGAAATAATAAAGATCATAGTAGAAACAAATGAAACAGAATAGAAAACAAGAGAAAATCAAGAAACTAAAAGTTGGTTCTTTAAATAGATCAACAATATTGATAAACCCTTAACTAGACTGATAAAGATAAAAGAGTTTAGTAATTTAAACCAGGAATAAAAGAGGGAACATCACTATCACCTTACAGAAATAAAAAGGGTTATATAGAATGACTGTATGCTAACAGATTTTATAACCAAAATGAAATAGACAAATGCCTAGAAAGATCAAACTATGGGAATTAACAAAAGAAGAAACAGAATGTCTGACTAGACCTATAATGAGTAAAGATACTGAATTAGTAATTTAAAAAAACTTCCCACCAAGAAAAACCCAGCCCCAAATGGCTTCCATGGTGAATTCTACCAACCATTGAAAGGAAAGTCAATACCAATTATTCACAAAAAATGAAAAGGAGGCAATACTTCCAGCTCATTCTGTGAGTTCAGTAATACCCTGATACGAATTCCAGACAAAGACATCCATAAGAAGACTACAGACTATAATATCCCTTATAAATGAAGGTGTAAAAATCTCCAACAAAATACTGACAAACCAAATCCAGCCATGTATAAAACAACTTATATACCATGATCAGGTGGGAATTACATGGTTGCTTTAACATCCCCAAGTGAATCAATATAATGCACCATATTAGTGGAATAAAGGAACAAATCCATATCATCTCAGTAGGCACAAAAACCACTTCTGACAAAATCCAACACCCTATCATGATAAAAATATTCAATACAATAGGAATAGAAGGGAACTTCTTCAATCTGATAAAAAGCCTCTACGAAAAGCCCAAATCTAACATTATACTTGATGGTGATAGACGAAATGCTTTCTCCCAAAGATCTGGAACATGACAAAGATAGCAGCTCTTGCCACTTCTGTTTAACACTAAGCCATAGAGTCTAGCCAGGGAAATTAGGCAAGAGAAAGAAATAAAAGACATCCATATTGGAAAAGAAGTAAAACTCTCTCTGTTTCAAGGTCTTGTATATATGATCTTGTATGTAAAAATCCTAAGGAATTAATAAACTGGTAGAACTAATAAATGACCCCAGCCTGGTTGAAGGGTAGATCAGTATACAAAAATCAGACTTTATATAGTTGATTATAACAATCTAAATGTGAAATTAAAACAATTCCATTTACAACAGCATAAGAAAAATACTTAGGAATAAACATAACAAAAGAAGTGCAAAACTTGTGCACTGAGAAATAGAAAACACCATTGAAAGAAATTAAAGAAACACCTAACTAAATGGAAAGGTATCTCATGTTTACGGATTAGAAAACTTAAGATGGCAATGCTTCTAAAATTGATCTGTGTATTCTCTGCAGTCTTTACTGAAATCCTGTCCTTATTGCAGAAATTAATCAATCATAAAATTCATACAAAAATTAAAAGGACTTGGAGTAGCCAAAACAGTCTTGAAAAATAACAAAATTGGAAGGTTCACACTTCTTAATTTCAAAACTTCACAACTATAGTCATCAAGACAGTGTGATACTGACTTAAGAATAGAAAGATTAATAGAATAGACTTGAAAGTCCAAAAATAATCCCTGATACTGTGGTAATTGATTTTTGATAAGGGTACCCAGAAAGTTCATGGGGAAAGAATAGTCTTTCCAACAAATAGTGCTGGGACAGCTGGATTTCTACTTGTAAAGTAATGAAGTTGGACCACTAACTCACACAATATACAAAAAAGTAACTTAAAATGAATCATAAACCTAAATCTAAGAATTACAACTATAAAGCTCTATATAAAGACTCTATAAAACCTATAAGATTAATTAAGATACGTCAAAATATGTTTGTACAACAAAGGATACTGTCAAGAATGTGAATAGACAGTTCATGGAATGGAAGAAAATGTTTGTAAGTCATATATTTGATAAAAGTCTTATATGCAGAACATATAAAGAACTCTCGCAGATGAACAATACAATGACAACCAACCATGAAAATAGGGGCAAAGGATTTTAATAGACATTTCTCTAAACAAGACATACAAATGGCAAATAAGCATGTGAAAAGATGTTCAGCATCATTATTGGAGAAATGGAAATAAAACCCACAATGGGATACCAATTCATGCACTCAGATGACAAAAATATAGAAGATGGACAATAACAAGTTATCATGAATTTGTCAAATTAATACTTATTAAGCTGAGCATAAGGTTCTGGATTTTGAGCTGTGCTTCAACAGTATAGCACAGAGAGATTGAAATAGAAAATTTTATTATGGTCTTGGAGGAAGTACCCAATACATTTCAGGGAGTCACACTGGGAGGTCAGTGCAGAGTACAGGCAGAGAAATGCAGGACCTGGGGCATATGACTTTATTGGGTCTGTAGGTAGAGTGCTTTGGGGTTCCTGGGTTAAGACCCAATTCACCAATTCAAACCAAAAGAGCTGGGTTTTTGTAAGCCACATGTGGTTCTTATCAAAGGGGTGCAAAAGAGGATGCTGGGAAGCGGAGGAGACTACTGATCACAGCAGTAGTTGGGGAAATCATATCAGGAGCTTACATTTGCTTGAGGCTTCAGGCTGCTGTCTAGGGCATGCACTTGAATGAGAGGACTAGTGTCAGTTTAAGGTGGTCAGACAAAATGGATTCTGTGGCAGTAATAACATGGAGTAACTTAGCTAAATTCTTGGTGCAAGTGCTGACAGGGATGTGAACTCTTGGGATGCTCATACACTGCTGTTGGAAATGTAAAATAATACAACTGCTTTTGGAAAACCATTCCTCAAAAAGATAAACAGAATTACCATAAGATCCAGCAATTCCACCCTTAGGAATATATGCAAGAGAAATAAAAACATATCTACAAAAATACCTTGTACATAACAGTTCCTTAGCAGTATTATTCACAATAACAAAGAGATGGAAACAATGCCCAAATGTCCATCAGGTGATTAATGAATGAGCAACGTGTTATATCCATACAATGTAATATTAATTGGGCAATTAAAAGAAATGAAGCACCGATACATCCTGTAAAATAGATGATCCTTAAAAACATGCCAAGTGAAAGAAGGTAGAAAAGGCCTCATACCATGTGAACTCATTTGTGTAAAATGTACAGAACAGGCAAATTTATAGACATTGAAAGACTAGTAGTAACTTAGGGTTGGGGAGTGGATGGAGTAGTTTGGGTGTGACTGTTAATGGATATGGATTTTCTTTTATAGGGGAGATGAAAATGTTCTAAAATTAGATTGTGGTGATGTTTGTATAATACAATAAATATACTAAAAAACATTTTGTACACTTTAAATGAGTGAGCTTTAAGGTATATGAATTGTATCTCAAAGCTATAAATTTAAAAAGCAATGGATATTTTTTGTGCATTTGAGGGGCAAGTTTTATCCTGTATTTCCTTAAAAGCAATTATTTGTTTTCACACTGAATTAGCATTTTCACATTCCTCTACTGATATAACTGGAGTAACATTAAAAAACTCTTTTGTTAATACTTTATTTCTGCCTTTCTCTAATTCTTATTGCTTCTCCATTCTGTGCATGGAAGAAGGCTGTATATTGATTTTACACTTTTGTTTCTTTTATTTTCTGCCAATTTTTTTTCACCATGGTCTCATCCAGATTTCCTTTTGTATACTTAACAACTGTTAGCTGTGTTTTCTGATTACAGGATGATACCTTTCAGTATGCTTGAAGCGGCTATGTATATGCAGTATCTTTACATTTGAGCTCCTTGGAGACTGACTGACTGTGTTGATCACCTTGTAGGTTTTACTTTCCTTATTGGTATTGTAACGGCAGCAAGAGAGCTTACCGACACGGGGTCTCTCGTGGCACTGAAGCCCCGCTTCTTGATGACTTTGTCATGTCTTACCTTTTTGCTCAGGTATGATTATAATATATTATTTGCACGTGTGTTGAAGGATCAATGTCTTGCTGCATAGTATCTGTTAGTCAAGAAAATTTTCATATAGAGGAAAATTAAAGTTCTGTCTTACATATAGAAGGTACAGACTCACAAAATTGAATCTATTTATCAACTCATTTTTAACCCTGTAGTTTATAGATAATAGAATTTATTTTATAAAAATTCATTGAATTGGTCCTTTTGAATTTTCTTATTTTAGTGCTTTAGATCATTTTATGGATTTCCTGAAGTTTAGACTGAGTTTTACACTATGATTCATATAAACATCAGTGGCTGGAATATAAGATAGTAAAATTTCTTTACAGAAGTTTTTTTTTTTAATTCCTGAACCATTTCAGATATAAATAGTGGTTAGTGAAATGTAAGTAAGGGAGGTAATTGCATAAAAAGTGAGTTACAGTAGTTTATGTAGCTTCCCATAGGAGGGTGGCTAGATCTTGGTACTGAGAGCCGTGTTTACTAATACTGTTATATTAAATTTTTGTAGTGTATTTGAACATTTTTAAATGCTTTCTTACTACTTTTATTTAAGTAGTAATTGAAATTTTTTGTCATTAAATTATTATTTTTCATATATTACAAGACTAAGAAGTAGATAGTAAAGAAAGAAAAGATGTTAGTGCTTTTGGATAAAAATATGTTCTTGGTATCCCCAAAGTATGAGATTAAGGAGTAATAAATCAGATGTGCTAGTATCATAGGAAATAAACCTACAAATCCTCATGGCTTATATTTCTAAGATGTCTAACAGGGCTAGTTCAGTTTGTGAGCAATACATTGAAAAATTTTCCTCTTTTGGGGTATGAGAGCACAATCAGTTTTTTTGTGTGTGATAAAATATATTTAATAAAATTTATCATTTTAACCATTTTTAAGTGGACAGATCACTGGTATTAAGTACATTCACATTGTTGTGCAACCATCACCATCATTTATCTGAACATTTTTCACATTCCTAAACTGAAACTTTGTACCCATTAAACAATAACTTCTAATTCCCCTCTGCTCCTAGCCCCTGGTAAGAACCTTTCTACTTGCTGTCTCTTAATTTGACTGTTCCAGGAACCTCATATAAGTGGAATTGTACAATTTTGCCCTTTTATCTATGCTTATTTCACCTAGCATAATGTCTTCAAGGTTCATCCATTTTGTAGCATAGTCAGAATTACCTGCTTTTTAAGACTGAATAATAATCCATTGTGTAGTTTATCCATTCATCTGTTGATGGGTACTTCAGTTGTTTTTACCTTTTGTCTCTTGTGAATAATACTGCAGTGAACATGGGTGTACAAATATCTCTTTGAGACTCTGCTTTCAATTCCTATAGATATATATACAGAGAAGTGGAATTATTGGGTCATATAGTAATTCTGTTTTTAAATTTTTGAGGAACTGCCACATTGTTTTCCAGCTGCACCATTTTACATTCCTTCCAGTAGTGCACACAGTCCAATTTCTCTACACCCTTGCTGTTTTTTTTATAATAGCCATTCTGATAGGTGTGAAGTGGTATCTCACTGTGGTTTTGATTTTCATTTCCCTAATATTAGTGATGTTGAGCATTTATCATAAGCTTGTTGGCCATTTGTATGTTGTGTTTGGGTAAATTTCTATTCAAGTCCTTAGCCCCTTCTTAATCAGGTTGTTTGTTTTTTGGGTTGTCAAGTTGGAAGTATTCTTTATTATTCTGGAGATTAACCCTTTATGAAATACTTGATTTGCAAATATTTTCTCCCACTCCATAGGTTGCCCTTTCATTCTGTTGTGTTCTGTGATTCACAGAAAAAATTTAATTCTGACTAAAAATGGTAGCCTGATTTGTCTGTTTTTTTCCTGTCACCTGTGCTTTTGTGCCATATCAAAGAAATCATTGCCAACTCTAATATCATGAAACTTTACCCCTATCTTTTCATATAAGTATTTTATTGTTTTAACTCCCATGTTTAGTTCTTTGATCCATTATGGTATAAGATAAGGGTCCTACTTCATTCATTTGTATGTGGATATCCAGTTTTTCCAGCACTGTCCATTGAAAAGACTGTCTTTTCTCCATTAAATTGTCTTGGCACTCTTGTCAAAAATCATTTGACCACCAAACAACTTTTATACAGCTTCCTTTCTTTCAGTAGCAGTTAAGAAAAGGGAGAGAAAAGGCTTCTGAGAATAGTGTACTATGAGGTTATGACTTTCTGCTGCTTTTATAATTATATTATTTCATCTGTGCCACAGAGCTGGTTTATTTTTGTGGTTGCTAGTTAAGTTCCATTAGTAAGGCAAAGTTTTCCAAAACTATTCAGCTGTTTTACCCCATATGAATATTGTGATAGCTTATACTTTTGATCTAGGTAACTTTAAGGTGATTTCCAATTTTTTCTCCCTAAGAGGGTTTTCTTATCTAGGATGGCAAAATAATTTCACAATAGAAACTAAATTGTGTCTAGACAACACCACTTGCAATTTTCTGTTTCTTAATGTTTCTACTTCTCTAAATCTGTGTTCAGAATATAAGGTAGTGGTTGACTTATTCTCAGATTGTATTGTTATCAGGTTAGACTATATACATATTGTAGCCTAAATAAAGCAAATTTGACTAGTACTGTCACCAGGATGTAAGAATACATTAACACCTTAAAATATCTAAAAAATTAGGCCACTAAACTATCTTTAAAGTTTATAAGACACTACTATAGGGAGACAAACTTGGGAAAGGTAAGCAAATAAAAGCCAAAAGTGAAATACCCTTTTAAATTCATTTTATTCTGAGGATTGTCTTTATATCATCAAATATGTTTGCTCAGCAAATGTATAAACTGCTGCTGTGTGGAGAAACTTTAATTCATATATATTCAGCAATAAGAATGGATCTTCATGTTCTTTCTTTGGCTCATTTCTGATTTTGTGACTATAGCTTTAAAAAATTTTTCTAGCTGAATGCATATGAAATTTCTTCAAATGTTGTCAGCTCCCAGTGAAAAACTACTTTTCTATAGTTTTAATTAAATGAAATTTTATTGGTATGTAACTGTGATGTTTAAAGAAGGGTAGTTTAAAATGTTTTGTCATTTGGAACTCTCATTTGTAACTTTCCTGTGATGGGTATTTGGTTGATTACATGTGTAGTGCTGCTCTCACTGATTTTTCATATAATTCTTTTGGGAATGAGTTCCCCAGAATATCCTCATGAATAGAATTTGTTATCCTCTAGTTTTATATAGTATATTGAGCAAAAGCAAGCTATTAAAAAGAATCCACTTAGCCATCAGTTATCTGTGATTCTTAACCAGAATAACATCCCTGCCCATTTAAAAAAATGTGGTGAAATAAACGTTTGAAACTGAAAGAAAGGAATCTAACTCCTTCCCTGAGTTAATTTTGTGTTACCAGCATTTAGATCTCTGATTTGGTTTATACTGGTTATTTCATGGTTTATGCCTTTTAAGTAATATAGTTTACTATCCTATTATAATAAAATGTTTTCTAATTTGTTAGTAGAAATTTGTTAATAGAAAGTTAATAAACAAATAAAATGCATGTTTATTTCCTTTAGTAAAATTATTCTTTAAGAATTCATTTTAAACTTTAGTGTATCATGAGATAAGTTATCACATAGAAAAAGGGAGATACATACATAAAGATATGGAAAGCAGCCCTATATTTCTCTTATTCAGTTTAAAACCTTGGTTAAATATTGTTATTTCAATTAATATTATACCTCTTACCTTTCTTATAAGGAAAATTGCTATTAATTTTAGAATATCATTGATTTTTATACTCTACTCTTTCTCCCATTACCTGTTAAATATAATTAGTATCCATATCCCTAAATCATTCCAGATCAAAATATTGAAATTTGTTTTTCCCTTTTATTCATTCTTTTTATACAAGTATTGAGTTATTAAATTTTTTCAGACTGCTTTTGTATCTTTGGTTTCCTGTACCAGATCCTTGTTATCTTGTATCTGAACCATTACAGCAGGCTCATAAAGAGTCTTTCTGAATATACTTTTTTTCTTAAAGCATTTCTAACCTTACTGCTTCTACCATTGAAAGAGGCACAGTGCTTTAAGAAACTGATGCTTTAGGAATATAGTCAATGATTCTGTAACATCTTTCTACACTGATAGATAGTAATTTCACTAGAGAGGGTGAGGATTTAATAATATGGGTAACTGTCGAACTGCTGTGTAAGACTGTGTATCAATGATACTTCAATAAAAGAAAAAAATGAATAAACAAGTAAAAAAGAAAAAAGAAACTGATGCTTTAAGGAAATGGTTCTCTGTTGCTTCTAGGATCTGGTCATTCAAGGGCACCTACCTACAGTCTGACCCCAAGTTATTTCACAGTTTTACTCCATATTATTCCTTTATATAAATTGTCTTCCCCAACTAAACTGGTTGAATTTCTGAACATGCTCTGTGCTTTGTTTTTTGTCATTCCTTCTATTTTCTCACTCTGTTTTGTGTCCGTCAAAAATTTCCTCATTTTCAAAGACAGCATGAAATTTCAAACTTCTATGAAACCTTCCCTGACTACCCTAACTGGATGTAATATCAACTTCTTTAAGTTTCTGAAGCTTCTGTTAATGTGGCAGTTACTATCCAGTATGTGGCATTATAATTTTTTGTTTACATGATTAGCTTCCCTGTTAGATTTTAGTCTTCTTGAGGGCTGAGACCACATCTTATATTTCTTGGTATCCAACAAGATCTTCAGTATAGTGCTTTGAACACATTTGGAACTCAGTACATGATTAATTAATTACTATTTAGTTTAAGTAATTTTGATGTAGAAGATATAATTTGAAGATATAAGCAGTGAAATAGAGTTTGATGTCATATGTCATATGTACTCTATAATTGGGAAACCAACTTAAAGTAGTTTCCATTTGCAAAAGAATTTTTACTAAAATTTTCTGGAAAAATAATTGAAAATTAAGGGAGGAGTTGATGTTATTTTTAAACACATATGTTCTGGAAATTATGTTATAGGTTAAAATATAATAGTAGATTAAAAGGTGATAGTGAAACAGTGAAATACTTCATTCTAAATATTTTTTCTTTTAGTGGCGGCATGATTTTTTGCATGGGTGGATAAAAGTACCTGTGACTCATGAGACACAGGAAGAATGTCTTGGAATGGCAGTGTTAGATATGATGAGAATAGCCAAAGAGAAGGACCAGACCCCACTGGACATCTATAGTTCTATCAGGTAATGGCCTTATGCACATCTATATATATAAATGTGAACATTTGGCATTTTAAAATAATTTATTTATATTCTGTGTTTGTCCATACTTTCTGATTTTATAATAATTTAAAATCATATGGGTAACTTTTCTTCATTGTATACAACACACACTTTGTGAGACAAAAGAAATTATTTTTTCCTTTTTTTGTTTTGTTGAGATACAATTGGCATATAGCATTGTATAAATAGATGGTGTACAGCATAATTGTTTGACTTACGTATATCTTCATTAATTACCACAATAAATTTAATTAACATCCATCATCTCACATTGATACAAAAAAAGTGATTAAACTCTTAGGCTCTATTAACAACTTTCATATATATCATACAGCACTGTTAAATGTAGTAATCATATTGTACATACTTTCTGAGTACTTATTTATCTTATGAGGAAATTTTTTAAAGAGTTGGAGTACTACAGAAAATATCATAGCTGTTCACTACCTGTTTGTTATTTGATTTACTTATTCTGAAAAGGCTAGGTAAGGTCAAAGGAATGAAAAGAACACCTGGGTGTGTAATTTCTGATAGCATGCTATCAAATTGTCTGTATAAATCTGAATCAGTATTTCTTAAATAGCTGTTCATATTTTACTTGAATTAGTATCACCTGAATTGCCTATTAAAAATTGAAGATTCTTGGGCTCTAATTCAAGAATTTGGATTCAGTTAATCTGAGGTAAAGCCCACAAATACAGATTTTTACAATTGTTCCATTCTTTTTTTTATTTCAATTTTATTGAGGTAATTCAAAGATATTTAAGATATGTAAAGATATTTAAGATTATAAGATATTTAAAATGCACACCATGATTGATTTTATATATGTATACATTGTGAAAGAATTTCCCCCATTGAATTTATTAACATATCCATCGCCTCATATATTTATGTTTTTGTGTGTGTGTGAACATAATTTAAGTTCTCTCTTAGCAAATTTAAATTATATAATATAGTGCTTTCAATTATAGTCACAATGTTTTACATTAGATCCTCAGATCTTATAACTGATCCATCATATTCTTTTTTTTTAAATTTTGGTATCATTAATATACAATCACATGAGCAACATTGTGGTTACTGTATTCTCCCCATTATCAAGTCCCCACCACATACCCCAATACAGTCACTGTCCATCAGTGTAGTAAGATGCTATAGAGTCACTACTTGTATTTTCTGTGCTATACTGCCTTCCCCATACCTCCACCCCCCACTTTATGTGTGCTAATCGTAATGCCTCTTATTCCCGTTCTCTCACCCTTACCCCCCACCATCCCCACTCCCTTTCCCTTTGGTAACTGTCAGGCCATTTTTGGGTTCTGTGTTTGCTGCTGTTTTGTTGCTTCAGTTTTTGCTTTGTTCTTATGCTCCACAGATGAGTGAAATCATGTGGTACTTTTCTTTCTCCACCTGGCTTATTTCACTGAGCATAATACCCTCTACCTCCATCCATGTTCTTGCAAATGGTAGGATTTGTTTTCTTCTTATGGCTAAATAATATTCCATTGTGTATATATACCACGTCTTCTTTATCCATTCACCTACTGATGGACACTTAGGTTGCTTCCATTTATTGGCTATTGTAAATAGTGTGGTGATAAAGATAGGGGTGCATATGTCTTTTTCAAACTGGGCTCCTGCATTCTTAGGGTAAATTCTTAGGAGTGGAATTCCTGTGTCAAGTGTTATTCCTATTTTGAGTTTTTTGAGGAACCTCCATACTGCTTTGCACAATGGTTGAACTGGTTTACATTCCCACCAGCAGTGTCGGAGGGTTCCCCTTTCTCGGCACCCTCGCCAGCATTTGTTGTTCCTAGTCTTTTCTGTGTTGGCCATCCTAACTGGTGTGAGATGATATCTCATTGTGGTTTTAATTTGCATTTCTCTGATAATTAGTGATGTGGAGCATCTTTTCATGTGCCTGTTGGCCATCTGAATTTCTTCTTTGGAGAAGTGTCTGTTCATATCCTCCACCGATTTTTTAATAGGGGTATTTGCTTTTTGGATATTGAGGCATGTGAGTTCTTAATATATTTTGGATGTTAACTCTTTGTTGAATATATCATTTATAAATATATTCTCCCATACTGTAGGATGCCTTTTTGTTCTACTGATGGTATCCTTTGCTGTACAGAAGCTTTTTAGCTTGATGTAGTCCCATTTGGTAATTTTGATTTTGTTTACCTTGTCTGAAGAGATGCATTCAGGTAAAAGTTGCTCATGTTTATATTCAAAATATTTTTGCCTATCTTTTCTTCTAAGAGTTTTGTGGTTTCATGACTTACATTCAGGTGTTTGATCCATTTCGAGTTTACTTTTGTGTATGGGGTTAGACAATAATCCAGTTTCATTCTCTTGCTTGTAGGTGTCCAGTTTTGCCAATACCAGCTGTTGAAGAGGCTGTCATTTCCCCATTGTCCATGGCTCCTTTATCATATCAATTGACCATATCTACTTGCATTTGTATCTGGGCTGTGTAGTCTTTTCCACTGGTCTATGGGTCTGTTCTTATGCCAGTACCAAATTGTCTTGATTACTGTGGCTTTGTAGTAGAGCTTGAAGTCAGGGAGTGTAATCCCCTCTTCTTTATTCTTCCTTCTCAGGAGTGCTTTGGCTATTCGGGGTCTTTTGTGGTTCCATATGAATTTTAGGACTATTTCCTCTTGTTTGTTGAAGAATGCTGTTGGTATTTTGATAGGGATTGCATTGCCTCTGTAGATTGCTTTAGGTAGGATGGCCATTTTGACAATATTAGCTCTTCCTATCCATGAGCACAAAATGCATTTTCGTTTATTGGTATATTCCTAAATTTCTATTGTGAGTGTCTTGTAGTTTTCAGAGTATGGGTCTTTCACTTCCTTGGTTAGGGTTATTCCTAGGTATTTTATTCTTTTTGATGCAATGGTGAATGGAATTGTTTTCCTGATTTCTCTTTCTGCTAGTTCATCATTAGTGTATAGGAATGCAACAGATTTCTGTGTATTAATTTTGTATCCTGCAGCTTTGCTGAATTCAGATATTAGATATAATAGTTTTGGAGTGGATTCTTTATGGTTTTTTATGTACAATATCATGTCATCTGCAAACAGGGACAGTTTAACTTCTTCCTTGTCAGTCTGGATGCCTTTTATTTCTTTGTGCTGTCTGATTGCCATAGCTAAGACCTCCAGAGCTGTGTTGAATAATAGTGGGGAGAGTGGGCATCCTTGTTTTGTTCCCATCTTAAAGGAAAAGCTTTCAGCTTCTTGCTGTTAAGTATAATGTTGGCTGTAGGTTTGTCATATATGGCCTTTATTATGTTGAGATACTTGCCCTCTATTCTCATTTTGTTGAGAGTTTTTATTATGAATAGATGTTGAATTTTGTCGAATGCTTTTCAGCATCTTTGGAGATGATCATGTGGTTTTTGACCTTCTTTTTATTGATGTAGTGGATGATGTTGATGGATTTTCAAATCTTGTGCCATGCTTACATCCCTGGAATATGTCCAACTTGATCATGGTGGATGATCTTTTTGATGTATTTTTCAATTTCATTTGCTAATATTTTGTTGAGTATTTTTGCATCTATGTTCATCAGGGATATTGGTCTGTAATATTCTTTTTTGTGGTGTCTTTGCCTGTTTTTTTGTATTAGAGTGATGCTGTCCTCATAGAATGAGTTTGGGAGTATTCCCTTCTCTTGTACTTTTTGGAAAACTTTAAGGAGGATGGGTGTTTGGTCTTCACTAAATGTTTGATAAAATTCACCAGTGAAACTATCTGGTCCAGAAATTTTGTTCTTAGGTAGTTTTTTGATTATCAGTTTGATTTCATTGATGGTAATTGGTCTTTTCAGATTTTCTGTTTCTTTCTGGGTTAGCCTTGGAAGGTTGTATTTTTCTAGAAAGTTGTCCATTTCTTCTAGGTTATCCAGTTTGTTAGCATATAATTTTTCATAGTGCTTTCTAATAATTCTTTGTATTTCTGTGGTGTCTGTAGTGATTTTTCCTTCCTCATTTCTGAGTCTGTTAATGTGTATAGACTCTCTTTTTTTCTTGATAAGTCTGGCTAGAGGTTTATCTATTTTGTTTTCTCAAAGAGCAAGCTCCTGCCTTCATCAATTCTTTCTATTGTTTTATTCTCAATTTTATTTATTTCTGCTCTAATCTTTATTATGTCCCTCCTTCTACTGACTTTGTGCCTCATTTGTTCTTCTTTTTCTAGTTTCATTAATTGTGAGTTTAGAGTATTCATTTGGGATTGTTCTTCTTTTCTGAGGTAGGCCTGTATTTCAGTATACTTGCCTCTTAGCACGGCCTTGTCTGAGTACCACAGATTTTGTGGTGTTCAATTATTGTTGTCATTTGTCTCCATATATTGCTTGATCTCTGTTTTTATTTGGTGATTGATTCATTGACTATTTAGGAGCATGTTATTAAGCCTCCATGTGTTTCTGGGCTTTTTCATTTTCTTTGTGTAGTTTTTTTCTAATTTCATACCTTTGTGATCTTAGAAACTGGTTGTTACAATTTCAGTCTTTTTGAATTTACCAAGTCTTTTTTTGTGGCCTAGTATATGATATATTCTTGAAAATGTTCCATGTGCACATGAAAAGAATGTGTATCCTGTTGCTTTTGGATGAAGTGTTCTGTAGATATCCATAATTAGGTCCATTTGTTCCCTGGCCACCACAAATGGCTGGAATCTTAGTCTCTCCAAGTATTCCGCCTGTTTTAGCTTTCCAGCCCCACTAATCTCCAGAGCACCATGCAATGTAGGTTTGTGCTCCCAAAGCAAATCTGCAGGGCTGGGTGTTCAGCAGTCCTAGGCTTCCACCCCTCCCTGCTCTGTTTCTCTTCCTCCTGCTGTTGAGCTGGTGTGGGGGAAGGGCTTGGGTCCCAGCCAATCAAGGCTTTGGTACATTACCCTGTTTTGTGAGGTTTGCTCTGTTCTCCAGGTGTTTGCCCTCTGGTGCAT